AATTGCGTGTAATATTTTAGAATTCTAGTATTATTTTTTAGATAGAAAAATTAGTCGATTTACATTACTACACAAAAACAAATCAAAACAAAATTTTACACGGAATTTCGGAATATTAATAAACGGAGAATTTCCAAGCTACTACATATTGTTTTCATTCTGTGTATTTGTTGTCTTAAAATTCAAATAAATAATTTACTGTTATAACCTTCTCATCTAGAAAAAAACAAAAATATACCAGGTGGGCCTCTTAACGAGTTTATGTCATCTTAACTGTAGTATAATAGAAATTTCAAAAAATACCATTTTTCAAATGCTACTTTACAAAAATGCCACATTTTTAAATTCTTTACAAAAATACCATTTTTCAAAATTATTATTTTTATATATTATTTATGTTTGGATTAATTATGTTCTATTAGCATTTATGTTTGAGTGTTTAGGAAGTTTTAGGTGTCAAAACATTTTTTAGGGTTTACAATTTTAAGATATAGGCTTTATAAATCTCTAATTAGTGTCATTTTTGTAAATGGACATCTCTAAATGACATTCTTGCAAATGTGCACACAAATAGTAACATTTTTGTAATTGTCCCATTGTATAACTGGTAGATCAACCAAATTATTAATTTAAATCGTAAATTTGTTTTAAGGATTCAAATGGAGATGGTACACAAAACTGATACAATAAAAGTGATCCAGTTTTTTTGTTATGATATTTATATTAGATTTGTTATTTCAAATAATATGAGCTAAAGAAAAGGTGTGATTTTTTATTAAATATATTCTAAACAACAATTTTCAGTAAAAAGAAAAATATTGTGGCTTTAGAAATATAATCACTGCCATTTAAAAACCAATTGATAGCCATAAACAACATAAATTTCGTCTTTTGCTTATTCAATTTATTTTATAGTTTAGATGATGTAGTGCGCAACAAATAAAATGCGGGACATAGATGAATTAAAAAAAAATGAACATAGTACAATAGCAAAATTAGAAGATTTCGCTGAAATTGTTCGTTTAGAAATTCTCTGAAAAAACTAATCACATGATTCTTCTCTCCATCGAAACAATCGGGTATTTTAATGTCTCGCGGCTCACACACTCCTTGAAAACGAAAAAAGTCATTTATGTACAAGTTTGAAAGAATATATACATTTTTTTTTTGTCAACAAAAAAGAATATATACATAACCAAAAGTGTTTTATTGTCTAAACAAGAAACGTCATCTATGTACAAGTATTTATGGAAGAATATACACATAACCAAAAGTTTTAGTGTAATTTACAATCTAACCAAAGTCTATAAAAACCGAATCCCATAACTTTTAGTTAGTTTCCTAATTTTACTATAGTTCTTGGTTTTCTAACTAATTAACGTCAAATCACAACCGTTCCATTTCCTGGACCCGTTCCCAAACCTCTGTTATCTGGAGATTCTGTGCGACTAAAGAGTCGACCCTCTCCATTTCGTTGTACAACGACGAGAGAGACAGTTGAAGATTGAGAACAATCTCGTTATCGGCGGGCATGTCGAGATTAGGAACGACAAAGGAGGGGTCGCCCAGAAGTCCAAGAAGACACAATGAAAGTCGAAAGAATAACAGAAACCGCCCTAACTTTGGGGCCATGAAAACTGTAAAATAATACAAATTTCCATAGAAAGTGCTTCGTTTCAGATCAATTCTTCGCAGCAATCGCTTCGAGCCACCCCCTCGGTGAAAGACTATAACTGGTGACCACTTGAGGAATAATAGGATCGAAGAGGAAAAAAAATGAAATAAGTTCTATGGAACAAATTAAAAAGAATGAATGTAGAGAGAGAATAAAATAAATTGTCCTAGTAAATGATAACAAAAAAAAAAAATTTCAAATAATAAAAGAAAAATTTTCACGTAAAAATGCATTTTTTTCCATTCTTTGTCAAATTAGATAGGGAATAATTTTGTTCTATGTTCCCTCTTATTCCAAGGAATGAAGATGAACTACATGAAATCTTTATTACATATAAATGGTAAAAAAAAATTAGGAATGAATGGGAATGTGATATTTCTCCCTGTTTTTCTCAATCCTTATGGTTACCAATATTTTTTTGTGTAATTGATGTGTAGTCTTAACATTTTCAAGACCGACTCGTCACTTGATAAATTGTTCGAAGAATGCATTCACACTAGAAATGTATTTTCTAAACAAGAAAAGACTGAAAAGTTGTTTCAGCAAAAAAAATAACCCAAATGATTAGCGAACCAATGATTTATGCATGATGTTTACACTCAACAAACTAGTTGAGTTAATTTAAAAAAAAAAAAAGAACTAACTAACGATTTGGTCTAGAATTCCCAAAAAAAAGAACGTGAATTCCCAATATATGTTAGTAATCTGCATATTGAGCCAAATCTTTCACTCCGTATTTGCAAAAACAAACA